TGTATTCTAAAAGTGTTTACTTTTCGAGTAATTTGCAATTTATTACTTTTCTATTGTAAAACTCCTATAAGTACAGATTTAGTTTTTTAATTAGTTGACTATGACGGCGGGATGCGGAGAACAAACAATTGCGATCTACAAAAACGTCACTTTATGATAATGTCCTTCATTTGACAGTTTATGTATTATTTTTAATAATCATGGCCGCGCGTTTTAATTTCACTTACGAATACTATTTCAATTTATTTACTATTTATGGTGAATGCAACAGAGTGATATCAAGAGCATGTGATGTGTTTGCTTATAGATATCCAGAAAAAAGAAGACCGGACGCACATACGGCTGTAAGCAATAGAAATTTTCAAAAATTTCGGTCGTGTGTAGCCTAAGATTCAATGGTATAAACCCTTGTATTTGCTAGTTTGGAAATCATAAGAACTGCCACTCATCATATATACTAAGTGACATATAAATCCGAACACCCAGGTTAAATGGTTTTATTTTAATAAAAATTGGTGAATGTATTTATCTTACTGTAAATAACAAGTGAAAAAATGTTCAGCCTCATCAGTTGGACATTCCGGTTTTTATACTGGTTTTTTTAATTCACTAACGCTCTAAAAATGAATATTTCAGCCGCAGTAAAGAATCAACGTTGGCGGATTTTGGTTCCTCACATCCTTTACGATCGGTTACGATGCCTAGAGTACGGAGACCTGTACGATTTCGTCAACTTAGTGAGTTTGATAGGGGCCGTATAGTGGGACTTCGGGAAGCTGGAAATTCTTTTCGGGCAATTGCAGTTAGAGTGCAAAGAAGTGTAGACACTGTGGTTAGGTGTTGTCAGGCATGGCTTCGAGAAAGCCGTACGCAAAGAGCAAGGGGCACTGGATGCCGCCGTAGAACAACAGACCGTCAAGATCTCCGCCTAAGATTATTGGCCTTAAGGGACCGTTTCTCCACTACCAGGTCCATTGCAAATGAATGGTTTGCAGAACACGGAAGACCTATTGGCATGCGAAGTGTTTACCGACGAATGAGAAGTTTTGGCTTGTTTTCATACCGGCCACACTGGGTCCTCCCTTTAACTCGAGAACACCGACGTAATCACCTTGAGTGGTGCAGACAACGGTCACTCTCAGGAATGGAACAGTATTATATTTAGTTACGAGTCTCGATTTTGTTTAGGCATGCACGATGGTCGTGCCAGGGTTAGAAGGCGACGTGGTGAAAGGAGGAATCCACAGTTTTTTGTTGAAAGACATGTTCATCACACTGTTGGAGTTATGGTTTGGGGTGCTATAGCTTATGGTTCCAGGTCACCTTTAATCTTCATCAGAGGTAACATGAACGCGCAGCGTTATATCCACGAAGTTCTAGAACCCCATCTTTTACCCTATCTTGACACCCTGGCAGATCCAACTTTCCAACAAGATAATGCCCGACCACGTGTTGCAAGAGTCACAATAGACTTCTTTCAACATAATGATGTCACATTGTTACCATGGCCACCAAGATCTCCCGACTTATCCCCAATTGAGCACGTGTGGGATATGATGGGTAGGAGATTGCTCAATTTGCAACGTCCTCCTCAGACTCTAGAAGCACTTCGAGAGGAGTTGGTGGTTGCCTGGAATGAGATACCACAGGACGACATTGACCACCCGATCAGAAGCATGCCTAGGCGCGTTGGAGAATGCGTAGCACATCAGGGCGCATCCACCACATTATTAAAGGTCAAAGGGCTTTAAAGCAGTGCAATCATTTTGAAATTTTTATCATTTACTTATTATGCTTCATTAAGTACTTATACAAAATTTTATTAAAGTAAAACCATTTAAACTGGGTGTTCGGATTTATATGTCACTTAGTATATGTTCTAAATGTTTGAAGGTTAGAGGTGGTCCTTTTCACCATTTACCAAAATATGTTGTTGCTTGTTGTTTTAATTTTGTTTTATAATAGTATGAGAGTTAAATATAAATCGAAATACCTTATTGTTTCCTGCTATTCATTTCACTGTATGTGTGCTTGTTGGAAAATCTACTAGCATACTTATCATAATTAGTCTTCCTATTATTCTGATTGTGAATACACATAAATTATTAATTATATTATTAAAAGCTTAAATTTAGACGTAGTGATATTTCCGTAGTGCTCAATTGTTTATTATCTGCGTCGCGTCGTCATAACCAACTAATTAAAAAATTAAATCTGTACTTAGAGAAGTTTTTCAATAGAAAAGTAATAAATTGCAAATTACTCGAAAAGTATACATTCTTGGAATAGATAGCCCTGTATAAAGTTACGCTAATTTTTAATGCTGGATGCGATAAACTATGTTTTCATTCGAAAAAATCGACTTATGTCAATTTTTGACATTCAATTTCTATACTAATTTTTTGACCACCCTATATAAATAAATATCGAAATATCATACAAGGTCTATTAAACTATATCCCTGTTTATCAGAAAATCAATCCAAATTAAACATTAAGGTGTTGTACATAGGGGAAATAAACAATTATTTTAGGGCCAGCAAACGTCATTTTTGACATAAAATTTGAAATATTTCAAAAACAGTTAGACTTGAGTATAAGAGATTACATAAAATATGATTAGAATTTTATGTAGAATCCGAATGTTAAGTAATATACCATTTCAAAATAAGCAAGTTGGCATCAACTTCCGGTATAACCGGAAGTGCCACCATCTTGAAGATATTTTAGCTGCCGTTGCCCTATCGACATTACCATACTCAAATTTTCAACAATATCATATGCCTACTTTTGAGAAATCTATCCATGGAGTTGCCGATGCGACATCCTGTATACTCATGAATATGTCTGAATAGATTTTATGTTTTGCCGAATTACGAAATTGAGATATTCTGTTTTTTTTATGTTATATGACATGTACATAATGAAAAACCTTGTCACCCATTTTCGTCGGTCTGTCTGTCTGTCCGCTAATCATTGGCCCCTGTATAACTCGGAAAGCATTGATAAAATTTTGCCACAAGCTTACTGCTCTGCCAAAAACGAAAAACCGTAGGTTTTGAAAAACGATCCATTGGCGGCCAAGCTATAAACAATAAACGAAAATAATAAAAATTGTTCGTTTCAGTGCCTCCTGCTCATTTTCCGAAAAACTTTTTGAACATGTGTTGTAAGGGGTGGAGCATATCTTGATCTCCTTTTATGAACCATACTCGTCATCGTGTAGGGATACTTATAAGCCCCGTGTGGATGCACAGGTAATCAACGCGAGTCTTCGACACTCCTTATGCCGCCAAGGTTACACGTCACTCTTTGAAAAATCATCTATAGTAGGTATCAGTATTTTTATATATTCTGTATAAAATTAATTAAGATAAGAAATGTTTGAGAAAGTAAAACCTTGGGTTACTGAATGTCGGTTTTTCTTGGGTATCTTTTGAACGACAATGTATTCGAAATATTTGACAGCACAGTAAACCATTGGAGTTTGATTTGGTGGTGTTCACGGAAAACAATTGACTCACTTAAAACGCCAGGGATGCACTAGCCCCAGTGTAACATTTTTACATCCCGTGTAGTAAGGGCCCAAATACTATTTTGAAAATGCCTAATGCGTTAGCTGATAAAATCTACGGGTTTGAGAAATACGAATCTAAAAGACAATCAAGTGATCTAAAAGTGTATATCCTGGTGCCTCTCTGTCACTAATTATGAATCTGTTAGCAGAATTACTTTATTTGCAAAATGGCGTGATCAATACACTGATACGATGTCAAAATTAATAGAACTATACTGAAAATTAATTCCACTGAGTTTTTGCCAAAAACGGTCTATCCTATCGACATCAAACACATTTTTCATATCAAAGATCAGGCTTTCCAAAAATGTTATCGTCGACCTTTATCATATAAGGTGTATTAATTTTTAGAGGCATTGTATTGGGGTTAGCCAATTCCAAGCGATCTAAATGATTTGCCTTTATTTGACAAGAACCGATATCAAGTAGCGATCTTTATGGCTCTGTATCTCCCTAGAGGAGAACTTGTGGCATTATCTTTTGTGTTCTATATCTAAGACATATTGCAAAATTTCAAACATTAATTTTTTACATGATGTAGAACGCTGACTTACTGATTCTATCATGACGTTTGCCTGGCAGCCTGGTATTCTGGAAAAATAATGGTGAGGAGCCAGTCTCAAAAATATATCACTGCGCTATT